TCGTCGCTGTTGACCTGATGAACTGAACCAGCAGAGCTGCGTTGCGTTCCATTGATGAGGTGCCGTTGCACTCACGCACACGCCGCCAAGCTGATGGTCGAACGCCACGACAGGTACAGACACACTCCCAAGAAAAAGGGGGAAACTCAATCTTATCGCCAGCAGCCATCAACGCCCGTGGAAATGTGTCAGATTCCTTTTTTTTTTTTTTTTTTTTTTTTTTTTTTTTTTTCCCTTTCTCCTGGCTGAAAGGCTGCAGCTGCGTGTCGCCCCGAGACAGCGTGGCTGGCCAACCCGTTCCTGGCCTGGTCTGACAGCCTCGACGGACGGCTTCTGTGTCTGTGTTCTTTTTGGCCGCGACCGCAAAAATCACTAGACGAACCTATTGGACTAAGCTGCTTCCCCTGATGTGTTGCTGACTTGTTGCCATCGTTCTCGATTTTCAAAGAGTGGCGGCAGAGTTCCTCTCGAGACTTGACACTGAGAAACGTGCCCTCTGGTGGCCTTTTCCCGTCTCCATCGATGGATTGATCGAGTCCCCTCCCTCCCAAGGGTCTTTGTACCTTGCGTACAGTGTCCGATTTGTAAAAGTAGCCGCACAGTACGGCCCGCCTCGAGGGATCTCACTTCGGTGCTCATCAATCAATTAGCGTTAATTGGACCTCTCCACCCTTACATGCTCATCATTTCGTAGTGCCCGCACCCGTCAGCACCGCTGCACCGCACACAATGCTCACTATTGCCTCCATGTCAATACTTTGTACTAGGTAAGGCACCTTGAGTTAGGTAGGACAGAGTGCTCAATCCCCTCCGTGTCCGCCGCCCGCAGCTCGTCGCCGCCAATTGAATCTTCCCTGGGCGCGTCGGCCGCGTCTCAGTGGTTCAAAGCGCGCCTGAAATCGCCATCTGCGAGGTGTACGGTGGTCGGATGTCGTCGATAGGGCTGGGGAAAAGGGAAAACCACCTGCAAGAGAATGCTTGTTCGTCTTGTCCGTGTCCAGACTGCTGGTAAACCGCTGCCGTCTTTGCCGTCTTCGCCCGTGGGCCAAGTCAGATCCCATCGACCCAGCTGCAATCGAGCCATCAAATCACATCAACTGAAGAAAATGCTTGATGCGCCTCCCGGCAGGGAACCCGACAACTACCAACTGTGTTCATGATAAAAAGAAATTTCTCGAAAGAAGGGTGGGAAGATGCGCGCAAATCCGACTTCTTATCTACCAATTCATTTTGATGCTGTAGATCAGGCTCACAAGGTTTAATCACCAATAAATTTTTCTTGAGGTGTCGTCTTGGCTCTTGTGCTGTCGGCCGCAGCTGCCTGTTCGTGTCCGGGCAATGGGGCAGCGGCAAAGGAGCCAAGGCCTGCCTGTGTTAGTGGGAAAGAACGTGCGAAGGGACAAATGAAAAAAAAAAAAGGAAAGGAAAGTGGTACTTGTCCGGTCCCGCCATCGAAGCTTTTCCAACGTACCCATCGCCAAATATTTCGTCTCTTTTTGATATTGCGACGTTCATTTGACTGACACAACCCTTAGAACTACCAACACCGCGCAATAAGGGAAAGAAAATCCGCACTGCATGTGAAGACCAACCACGGAACAGAGTCCGACGAAAACCGAACGCCAACCCCAGCTGTCAAACCAGCAACGCCCTTGGGATGCGTGGCATGACCGCATTTACGGCGTCCCACCGCCACGGACAACTCCGTAAACCTTACGCCGATGGGTGCTGCTCTTCTCCCTCTCCTGCGTCGATATGCTTCGAGAAGGACGCCGAACACGCAGGCATGCGACATCGGGGGCACAGACAGGACGACGCACGACGACGCAGCAATTACGACACGGTCGACACCATCATGACCATCAATGCGGGAGAAACCCAAAAATGTACGGATAGACTCGGACTGCTGGTTCGTCCTCTCTTTTCCCTCCCCGCCTCGCCGTCGTCTCGCATCCCGTCCGTACCTTGCAGAGCAACGCAACAGCAGCAATTCCCTCCATCATCAACGACTTTCAAACGCAAATGCGCGTCTTGGCGGCAACAGGACAATCCCTGCCCAGGGCATCGCCCACTGGGCCACTCTTTCGCTGTGCCAATATTAAAAAAAGTGAGGCAGCTCCCTGGACAATGAAACACACCAGATAACTTTATCTGAACAAGGACTCGCTGTATTCCCCGGATTCTCCCAGCATCTTCCCTTGAGGCCAGCGGCATGTTACCCATCGCTCGGTACCTTCGGGAACAAAAAATGGTGCCATTTCCACCCTACAGGCTACCGACGGCACCCTTTTATTCTCCGCCTGTCACTTCTTCTTGGGAAGCTATCGACGAGTCAAGAGCCTGTTTCAGAACATGGACCGCCGGCCGCGACGACGCCTTTCCTCTGCCACCGCTCCGTCCCAACTGGGGTGTTACCCTCTCATTCTACTGCGGTACTGCAGCACCACCGTTGCCATCTTACGCGGCTATCTATCAAACTTTGTGTGAGTGGGTGTCGTTGTTGCACTCAACACTCGTCTTCTGTTAATCTGACTTTGCCCTCTTTACACTATCTGGTTCAGGGCGGTGGATCAACGCGCCCTGCGTCAATTCATCATCGCGTTCGGCCTGCGTGTAACTGGTACAGCCCGAAAGTGCGCCCCCTTTCTCAGTTCCGAAGTCCAGACCGGCAGTGAGTCAATTGCGACAAACGTCACTCAATGCATCTCCGAGTGAAATGAAGCCCCTGAAAAGAAGAGACGACGAATTGCACGGCCAACCGCAGGCGCGAGTTGGCTTTCTCCAACCAGTCCTATCAATCCGAAGCCTCCAATGCAGGTTTGTGGCCGTCGACTGAGACTGTCTTTCCTAAGCCTCCTCCATCACCGCACCAATGCCATCTCCGAGGCTCTTTGTACCCACGTTCGACGGCTTCTTCCCCCTGCGTCTCCGCCAATCCCACGCAGGGCTGACAGCATGAGCAAAGCAATTCTGCGACCACCCTGGGCCGGGCTGGGATTCTGTGTGGGTGGCTGACTGCAGCAGTCTGAAATGGCGCTCGTTCAATGTTCTTCTCTCGCTCGGCAGCAGACCTGCAGACGCCGACCACACACGACGCTGCTACAGCACATGGTCATCTTTACTACTTTCGTCCCATCTCCTCGCGTCGTCGTTTCCCGCTTGCCCTCCAACCAGAGCCAAGAGCAAGAATAGTTTACTGCACAGCAGATGCTGAAAATTGGGACGGCCAAGCCTACACAAAGGGAGCACTCGAGACCGACAACTGACGAATGGATGAGGTCAACCAGCAGAAAGCAAAGTCAAAGCGGCGCTTGCTTCCGTCCGCCTCGTTCAGGGGCTTGTCTTCTCACGTCAACCTGGCCCCTCGCTTTGCGCGTGTTGTATCTCTGTCCTCGCAAATCTGATCGCCATGATCCAACGCGCGGTGCCCGTTTCTGCCCCTCGTGGCTACCTTACCAGACAAGAGTTCAAACGTTGCACAGCCTTGGGCGGTCATGAATAAGAGCCCCTGGCGGCCGAGGTTCGTGAGATGGGGGCAGAGTTTCCGAGGCCCCATCCAGCGCACCGGGCAAAGTGAGGACTGATTAGAAAAGTCGCGAGGTGATGCGCTGGCGGGAATACGGGCACTTCCTTTCTGGACCTGGAAGCCTGGAAGAGAAGTCGCTTCCCTCGTCTGGGGTCCATCGGGCTGGGCTGGTCCGGGCGTCGAGGGTTCTCTTGGGCAACAGGGGTATCACGACACAGTGTGGCGGTCCTCGACGCTAACTGTCTCCAGCCGGGGGTGTGGTCGAACCGGGTCCACTCCCGCATCCATTGACACTCGCTCCCGGCCGGCGTGCAAATGGCAGTAACATGGCAGCAATCCGTCGGTATCGCTAGTCTAGTTGTTGGCTACGCAGCACGCCTTAGGAGAAAAGAATAGGATGCGGCATGGCAACGCAGAGCCCCTATTTTCTTGCGCCTGTCTACTGCATAGTATCTGTCTAATGTTGGACCTTGAACAGGTAAGGGAGGTAGATATGCGGCGCGAGGAAAGGCAGCAGCACAGCTCAAGATTAAGTGGGCTGTCTTCTGATGGTCCAGCCCGCCTGGCCAAGCCCTCAGCGCGCGAAAGGACCCCTGAGGGGCGCTTCCCCTATCCTTGTCCTCCAAGATGCTGCCTGCAGCCTGCGGGCAGTGTAAGAAAAAAGTAAGCCCAGGGCAACAGCGATAGAGGGGCACGACAGGGAGCTCAAGGCGGAGGGACCCCCAAATGGATGGACTTTACATGATGATTTGGCCCTCGGGGGCCGGCTGCCGCTGGTGTTGCTGCTGCTGCTGCTGCTGCTGCCGCCCGCATTGGATCTGTTCGAGTTGGAGAAAATTAAAATAGCTTAGCCCATTTTCGCAGAATGAGGGCCGAACTTTTTTTTTTCGACCCCCGCGCAGCAAGTTGCTCCCCTGTCGGCTTTCACAGCGATCGTGTCCCCAAATCAACCGTGGTCACTTCTGTCACTGTGCTTCTTGCCGGCCGGGATACGTACCTTATTAGTCTGTACGGCATGCTGTCCATCCATCCAGAGTAGGGAAATGTAGTCGGAGTAACACGAGAGGGACACCTTACACCTAGCCCCATTGCCGGACCTTTTTCTTTTACGTGCTTCTTCCTAAGCTCCCCATCGCGACCTCAAGCTTCACATTTTACCTGTTTCTTTTTCTTCCGTGGGCTAGGTTGGAACCTTGTCGAGATCTGCATCTATCTCCTCCCTCGCTGGAAACGCTGTGCGACGACATCTTGTTTCTCGGCTGTGGTTTCTGAAAGTCTCACCTCACCGCCGCCACGGTCCCACCAGAATTCAGAGACATTTCCCATCGTTGCGCGACAGAGGGAAAGTCCAGAACGCATTCTGCCCGCACACGCGCTCAAGTGGCTTTTTGACCATTCCACCACTCCTTTTCGCATCCGGCGAGAGGACACACTGCTGCAACGTAGCCGTTGATCCCTTCGTCAAACCAACACAATGGCTCCTCAGACAGCAGCGGCGGCAGCCGCGCCCAACGGCGACAACCTCGACTATGAGCCCATCAACGTAATTATCCCAATCGGCGGCATTGGCTCTCGCTTCGCCAAGCAGGGCTACCGCTACCCTAAGCCTCTCATCAACATCGTCGGCCGTCCCATGCTGCTATGGCTGATCGACAACCTCAGCCTCAAGCCCGGCGACACCTTGTGGATGGCCGTCAACGAGGAGATTGACGACGAGTTCAGAATCGGCCAGCTTGTCAGCAAGACCTTCTCCAAGATCGACTTCAGGCTGCTGCGCCTGCGACACCAGACCAAGGGTGCCAGCGAGACGGTAAGCTACTATTTCCTCTTTTGCGCCCGCTCGCCAATGGAGGGGCAGAGTGCGCAGAGCCAAGTGCGAGGCCCACGTCGCTAATCTCTCGCCTTCCAGCTGTACATCGTCACCCAGAGCATGACCAAGAAGCACCTCGAGCGCAAGACTGTCTCCCTCGACTGCGACACCATCTACTGGGCCGACGTCCTCCAGGACATTCGCAACATGCCCAAGGGCCATGGCGGCTGCTTCTACTTCCCCGACGTCGGCGACAAGCCCATTTTCTCATACATCAAGACGGAGGCCACAAAGTGAGTCGCGTGTGAATGTGGAAAATGGCGGTGCTAACAGCAACAGGGACGGTTTGGAGCGCATTGTAGACATTCAAGAAAAGAAGGCCATTTCCAACAAGGCCAACACGGGCGCATACGTTTTCCCTACGGCAGGTCAGCTCAAGTCATGGGCCTCGGAGAACCTCGACATGAAGAGGCCCGACGGCTCAGAGGTGGGCGAGTACTACACCTCGCAGATGATTGCCCTCATGATCCAGAACGGTGTTCCCTACCTGGGCATGCCCGTCAAGACGAAGGATTTCAGCGTCGTTGGCACTCCCGAGCAGCTTCAGGACCTCCTGAAGCTTCTCAAGTCCGACACCTCGAACCTGCCGATCAAGCTGAAGAAGCGCCGCTTCTGCTTCGACCTCGACATGACTCTTGTCGGTGTGCCCGCCATCCCTGGCGACTACTCAACGTGCCCGCCCATCGAGAAGAACATTCGTCTCGTGCAGCAGCTGTACAACGCGGGCCACTACATTATCATTGTAAGTCGATCTTGGCGCTTGGCAGGGATGAGCGACCGCTAACCGGACGGCAGCAAACCGCTCGTCGCATGCGAACACACAAGGGCAACATTGGTTCCGTGCTCGCAGACGTCGGCCCTGTCACTTTTGCCCAATTGGCCAAGTACGAGATCCCGTACCACGACATCCACTTCGGCAAGCCCTACGCCGATGTCTACGTCGACGACTTGGCGGTCAATGCCAACCTGGATACCATGCGGGAAATCGGCTGGCTGCTGGACGAGCAGGACCCTGCCGCACTAATCGGCGAGGAGGCCAGCGCAGGCGAGGAGGCGAAGAAGGCCGGCATGATTGCGGCGCGTGACTTCAACACGATCCAGATCATCGGCGACAAGGTCATCAAGTCAAGCAAATCGGAGAACATTCTCGGCGAGCTGTTCTTCTACTCACACATGCCCTCCGAGATCTCCCACATTTTCCCCACCGTCTACAATGTCGACTACATTGCTGACACCTCCATCTACAACATCACAATGGAGAACCGCCGCGGTCTGACCTTTTCTCACCTGCTGGTCGGCCGCTCCATTACTAAGGGCCGCCTAATCTCCCTCCTAAAGTCCCTCCACACGATCCACACCACCGCCAGCACCGATAAGGCCACTCTCAAGATCCCCTCGGCGCTGGAGAAGAAGTTTGAGGAGCACTCCCTGGCGCGCGCGAACCACCGTGTTAACATTTACGCAAACTACGGCTCCAAGCTGCGCAGCCGCTACTACAAGGACCAGGACAAGTACGACGCCCTTGGTCCCTTGGCCGGCTCCCTCTTTGCTCGCATCAACGAGTTCCTCGACACATACGAGGCTGAGGAGAAGGGAGTGCACGCCCAGGTTATCCACGGCGACCCCGTTTTCAGCAACGCCATCCTTTCCAAGGACGAGAAGCTCGTCAGCTTCATCGACGTGCGCTGCCAGCTCGAGAACACCCTGACGCCCGAGGGCGACATTCACTACGACCTCGGCAAGGTCCTCCAGTCTCTCTGCGGCTACGACCACATCCTCTTCATGAGCGCAAACAACCATGACCTCCGTGGTGCCCTGGAGACTGATGCGCCCCTACTCGATGAGGCCGACCAGGACCTCCTCAACGAGCTGCAGGAGGTCTTCTTCACCTTCCTTGAGGAGACGTACTCTGTCCGCCTCCACCGCAAGACTCTCTTCCGCATCACTGCTTCGCTCTTCTTCAGCCTCATCCCCCTGCACCGCCCCGAGCTCGGCGCCGTCTTCCTGCGCATGTGCAAGGAGACGCTCGACAAGGCGAGCAACATCAACTACGGCCCCAACGCGCGCTCCATTGCGGGTTTGACGCTCAGCCGCCGCGCGAGTTCCAACTTTGCGGATGAGAGCGGACGCGAGATGCCCGTCGCCAACACTAACACCAAGGGCGAGAGCCTCGATATCCCCAACGTGGTCGTCAGCTCAAAATAGGTGACTGTCGCTGACGGGATGTAACGCCAGGGGAGGAGGAGGAGGAGGGACAGAGCAAGCGGAGCCAGGGACGGAAAGAGAGGTTGTGCTGGCCACGGGTTATAATACACCGAGATGTGGGTTGCTTGTGTGGGTTGCATTGATGTCATGGGCGGAGAGCTCTTGTGGGGTCGATTCATGGGGGTCTTTTTGTGGGGAACTAAAATCACAAGTGGTGTCTTGTCTGCCGCGATTTGCTATTTTTTGTATTGGAAAAAAGGAGCGATTCTGTTTCTTCTCTTCATGTCTATTGTTCCCGAGTTGATGAGGATCATGTACTACTATACCAAGTTACACCAAGAGTCATGTGTTACGGATCCAAGCATTCCAGTTGGAGAGCTCGAGTCGAGTGAACGGTGATTGTCGTTGTGGGCCAAATTACTGGTTGGTTAGTCTTTGCAGGCGTTTGTGGCCCGAGGTTTCTTCACATCCAACGGTTGGTGGCGTCAGATATGCGTCGTAGCTGTATGTCTCACAGCATGAAGCTCGAGCCAATGTCAACTTTGCCAAGGACGACCCGAGTTTGAGCTGGTTGTCGAAAGCCTGGTTTCGAAATGACTGCCATCAGCTTGATTTATACTTTTGTATTTCAACAAGTCGTATGGTTTCGGTCTACACCGCGGACGCCGAAGTCGTAGTGTCTGCCAGCGGCGACTTGCGCGTGTCTCCCATAGAATTCAACTTGTGGAGGGAAGTGACATTCGCCGAGATACCTCCAATGATAACGGCTTCGAGATCCTCATCCTTCTGCCTGTCTTCCTCTTCTTGATGGGCTAATTTCTAGTAGGCCACCTCAAGCCCAGCCAGCTTGAGCCCAGCGGCAACTCCGGCAGCCCACTCGTCCGGGTCGATGCATTCTTCGAGGTGGGAGGCGTGTTTGTCGGCCAGCAGATGCCCGGCGACGACTCCGGTGACTCACCTTTCGCCGAGTAGAGGGGGATCTGACGTTGAGCATTGTGTCGGTGTGTGCTTGCTGGGGTGGGACTGCTGGCGGGTTGGGCAGAGATGCAGAGACCGGGAGAAGTGGTTGAAAAAGGGGATGTGGCTTTGCCGTTGCGATCAAAGAGGTTCTCGCAAAGGATAATCATGAATGGTTGGTTTGAACTGAGTTAGTTGAGGAGTTGGAAAACTCGGTGAGGTAGATGCTAACGTTGAGCGGTGGAGTGACGAGACTGCTCGTTCTTCAACAACGCCACCACGAAAACAACTGTCTTCTCCTTCAGAAGGGTCATTTGGTACGGCTTACATCCCACAATTACAGCCCAGTGAAGCGTATTTCAGTATGTGCAGTAGACTTTTGGCGTCATGTTCACGATAACAACAGGTGACGGCGTAGTCGCGGCTGTCAATGACCGCAGTTCATGTCGCGAAAACACTGACAATGCAGTGCGACTGTATTGAGGCAAGTGTAGAGAGTTACGCACATGTAGTATTACCCGAGACGAGCTCTGTGTTCAGACAAGTAATCGTCATATCTCCTTTCATTTCCCGCAACCTTTCTCATGTGCTCAATCTTCTTCACGCCCTCCATCTTCGAGATAGCCACAATGGTGTCGTCGTCGAAGAAGCCCTTGTAGTAGTCTTTGTCGAAGAGCATCAGTCCTACTTGGTCCGTCACGACTCCCGAAGCACGACCACTCCGAATGACGTTTGAAAGCTCCGCCAAGTGCTTTAACCTGTCCCAAAGCTCCTCCTGCCGCAGGTAGATTTTGAAATAGTGGTTGTAGACCTCCCAATCGCCCTGAGCCCTCTCAACGACGCCTGATCCCCTTTTGTATATATTGTCGAGGTTCATCCTAGCGGGCAACCCGCCGGTTTCTTTGCACTCGTTATCGATGCATGTCTTAGACGACGCCGGCCATCTCCATATGCCCTCGCCATCGCCGTTGGAAGGGAGAAATGGGTGGGGTACGATGTAAATGGAGTTGTCCTCGGTCGTAACGGCCGTCGACTCTGTTGCTGATGGCACGGTGATGTTGACGGGTGCTGTGTTGTAGGAAAGCTTGGAGGAAAGCTCGCCGACCTCTGATCTCAGTTTCCAGACCCAAGTCGAGAGGATGATGGTGAGGATGAGATGCGAAAGACTGACAAGGCCGCGCATCGTGAGAAGTTTGATCTGATCAGTCTCGTCATTCTAGGATCGCGGCAGAAAGCTGTGAGTTAGACGTTCACCGTCTGAATCTCGTCTCGTGGAACTCTGGGAGTAACTCCCTTAAGTAGCTCCTGTGCACCTTGACAAATGCGAACTGATAAGGTTGGTTTGGCTCATTGCGGTGACGCGCAGGAGGGTGAAATGTATATACATGTTCCGCCGGAGGGGTTGCGCCATTACTCAAGGTGCAGTTTCATTTCGTCTTACTTTCAGATGTTCAACCTGTCTGAACCCATCCAGCTTCGAGATTTCAACGATTGCATCCTCGCTAAAATACCCCGAATAAGTCATCTGACAAGCCTTCCTCCAACACATGTGATGGGGCCACGACATCACCACCCCCGCAACTCCGGTTTTGCTGAGAAGACGACAGACCTGGGCGAGATGCGTAGCCAGAGTGTCCATCCCGTGTGTAACATGAATCTTATAGCCATGGTTTTCGATTCTGTCGCCGTCGTTGGCCCGAGTGATGTTACTTCCCAACCTTTTATAAACATCTTGGAGGTTCATGGCGTCTTGTGGTGTCTCGTTCGTCCTGTGTCGTGTAGGGTGCTCTCCAGGGAATTTTGGATCATGGCAGAGGCTTTTGCTTAGGTCTTGAACAAAAGGGTACTCCAGTTCTACCGTCGCAAGCGGGATCGTAGCAGGGCGTCGGTCTGTCGGTTTGGTCGCGGGACACATATGTGAAGTGATGTCGCCCACCTGATTGTTGGCTGCCGTTCCGATGGACGACAGCCAATCCAGCTTTGAGCTGAGGCCCAAGGCGCAGAGGATGATGCTGATGTGGGCGATGAATTGGACGGCTTGCGCGAGGCGATCGAAGGAGCCTCTGGCATTGCCAAGTCGTTGTATCGAGTGCTTACTCATGCTGAGCGAATATTTAGCAGGAAGATAGGTCGTCCAAAGTGTCACGAGGAGGTTCCGCGGCCCATTAAATAAAATAGGCAAGCAAACAAGGTAGCGGCACAAGGCGGGTGGAAACATAATCCAGCAAGATAGACTTCGTGTCTACAGACGGGGGCTTTACACACTGAATCTGCGAAATGAATACAAAAAACTGATAAAGTTTAATGAGCATCAAAGTCTCTCAAGACCGCAACCACGCTGCAGCATGCCCAACCTTCTCTCTGATGGCCTGACTGAGATCATTGCCCTCCTCCGCATCAGCCCCAATCTCCTTCACCCAGCTCTCCCTGTCGCCTGAAGCCAAAGTCGGAAGAATCTCGAGAACCCCAGCCAGCTTGGAGATCATCACCAGCGTGTCGTCGTCAAAAGCGCCGACGTAGTTCGAGTACTTGAGACTCCCACCCTCTCCTGGCCAGTAGCTGATGAATCCACGGGCCCCAGGCACCTTGAGCAAGGTACACACCGTATCGAGATGGTTCTGCACCTCCGGCTCCGACAACTTGAGCGAGATGGTGTAGTGCTTGTCAAACGTGGCTGTCCCATCACCGCGAGGCTTGAATTTGTCCCCGATGCGCTCAAGAAGCTCGGCGGGATCTGACCGATTCGTCTGAGGCGAGGCGAAAGGAGATATGGAGCCCACGCAGCGGTTTTGGCCGAAACCGATGGCAATGTACCACTTCAAGGGGTCGTCGGCTTTCTCAAACGGTGCTGCTGTCTCGACCGGCATGTACGGTACAATGGGGCTTGCGTGTTCCAGGATGCAGTTCCCGGCGCATCTTGAAATGCTGAGCAGCTGGCTGCCGATCAAGCAGCATACCAGCGCGCATAGAACGATGAGGGTTCGGAAATAGTTTAGGCCTGTGAGTCTTGTATCTTGAGTCATCTGAGGGCTCCAGGTGTGTGTCTCCTTTCCTGGGGTCGTCCCCTGATACGGTTGTGGTGTCTTGCGTGTCATCTTGATGTTGTCGACGGGCAGTAGGAGTTAGGGGGCAGGGTCTGCCCGTCGCCCCTTTAAAAGGAGATAGACATCTTCCTATCCCATCAGAAGAACCCTTTCTTAGAATTCTGACGCCGCTAGTCAGCGGCACCAGCGGAAGCCCAGCTGGAAACGTGGCTGGGAGAGCATTATCTCAGGCACCTAGCCCGGGTCTCCCCGAACAAAGAAAAACACCTCCTTCGGCAACACAACGATGAGATTTAGTGCTATTGGAATTCGACAGCACAAAGAAAAGTCACTGAATTGCAACGTATCTTTATTGGAAAGCTTTTAGGGTTGTTTTTCTTCAACTCCGGTGTTGGTGTCGGTAGATAGTGGCCGACAAAGTCTAGATCCCTAGTGGCGGCCAGAAGAACCCAGGGCATCGACGATATCTTTTTCAGTTTAACATGATTGAATATGACACTCTTACTGACCGACCCGAGCTAAGAACACTACCTATCGTCGCTTCCCATCCGCACGCACATAGGCAATCTTGGCCACCCCAGGCAAACTTGAAATTGCCACCAGTGTATCTTCATCAAAAGCACCAACATAAGTCATGGTCCTGAGCGTGTCTGCCTCGAAGTTCTTCACGACGCCTTGGGCGCTGTCTGTCTTCAGGATGCGACAGACTGCGTTGATGTGTGTAGCCATAATGTTGCGTTTCGTCATGGCGTAGGTCCTCACCATGTTCGTGTAGGACGATTCCGTCTTTGCATAATCCTCTGCTGAAAGCCTTCCGCTGACCGTCATCGAAGATGGCGGAGAAGGGAAAACGCCGGGGTCGAGCAAAATGCGGAAGAGCCCTCTCATGACAACTCCCGGTTCCTGAAATGTCTCCAGCTTGTCGCCGAGTCGTTCTTCAAGTTTACGGAAATCGTATGGCTGATGTGCTATCGTGTATGGCGACAGTTGAGATCCGCACCAACCAGGTGGTTCTGGTCCACCGAACCACATCCAAAACGGCATACTTCCAATGTCGTCTGCCAGCGTCTCCGTGGCATAGGAGATCGGGGGCTCAGTTATCTCTGATGTTGGATTGAAGGGCGCGTAGGAGTCATTGTCGTTAATCGTGTTGACAACGATGTGGTGGGTGCAGTTGTGAGTGACGTGAGTTCCATAAGTAGTTGACCCTGGGCGTGAGAAAGCTTGAAGCGCAAGGTAACTGAGGTGATACAAATACATTCCGACGCAAATGAACAGAAGCGCCAACTCACCAATCTTTCGATCTGTGAATCGGTATTGTACAGCTTGGCGAGTCATTGTAAGTATTGATATTCTTGATGTATGTGGAGGTATCAAGATCGGAGGAGATTGATGATGATGCGGTGGTGTTGGAGGGAAAATTCAACTGATAAGAAATGACTGTGCAGAGAGCTACTTTATAAAAGTTTGGGACTTAGAGTACCTTGAGATACCTGGTCTTTAAGATATAAACGCCTGGATGGTTGTGGTCGGCTTCGGTGTACGTGTCTCCCGTACACCTCCCACCTTTGATAGCTTTTGCCATGAAAACAACAAACTCTAAAATATAAGAAGTCAGTCTTAGGACAGTTGAAACTTTTGCATTCTTCATCGCCGACAGCTGGGTTTGCTTGAAACTTTCGCACCGTTTCTCCGACAAGGTTGCATACCGACACGGTTTCATCACAGGCTTCGTTGATTACGATAGTATAGACATAACTCTCATTCTCATTATATGTACCAATCTAGTTTTCGAGGAGATATCTAGATCCCCATAATGCCCATCTCCCTCAAATCACCAAGTCTACTCCTTGCTACGGAAACGATCCCGCGGGACTTGGTGGTGAAAGACCGCAGAAACCTCCTCCATCTTTGCAATCTCCACGATTGCGTTGTCGTCAAGAATGGCTTCGTACGAGTAGCCTTCCCTTCCTCCAATCTTGCGCAGGATGAATCCACCCCCAGACTTGCGAAGCATGCCGCAGACCTTCTGCTTGTGCTCCTTGGCCTTCTCCGCTCCAACTCTGAGGTCGATATTGATATCGAAGTGTCTGTCGCCGACGTAACGTCCCTCCCTGATCGGCAGCATCTTGGCTCCGATCTGGTGCTGCAGCTCCGTAGGATTCATGGGCTTGCTCTTGGTGAAGTCGAAAGGACGCAGTGAGTTTCCGCAGTAGTTGTGATCGAAGTAGCCGTCTATGACTCTCTTGGGCGGCGTCAAGATCTCCGCGGGGATCGGGGCGAAAATGGTATTTGAGAGCCAGTCGATGTCGGACTGCGTTCCATGGGACGTCAAAGGGTAGTGGGTGTCATCTGGCTGAGCCGACGGAGTGGGCGTTGCAGTGGCAGTGACAGTAACAGTGCTCGTTCTCGTTTTCGTGGGAAGGATTGCCGTGATGCCAGTCGTGATGGTTGTCGTGGAGGTTTGGGTTGCTGTGACGGTCTCCGTGGCTGCCCTGTGTCCAGTCGTCTTCTTCGACATGTTGCCAACTTCATTTGCAGGTGCAATCACCACAAACAACACCATGTAAAAGATTAAAACCACTGCGAAGATGATACAACCGCTGAGAAATTTGGCGAGCAAGCGTTCCTGCCTTGCCAAGCACTGGTGATGTTCATGCGTGCTCTCATCATGGTCTCTGAAAGTACCAGATGTCTTGAATTCGGGACTCTCGTCACTAATTCCAGAGACTTTGGATTCGCATGTCTTGGAACCAGCCATCTTGAATGATTGTTTAAGTGTAGTTGATTGATGCAGAGTAGATGCAAGGTTTTATGGATGTTGCGATGGGAAGATCGTGAGTTAGACACAAGGGGGCGGGCGGGGCCTTTGTACTATGAAGCATCCTTTCTCCGATGATAATTGACACCTTTGTAAAGGCAACGACGAGACTTTCCCATGAAGTCTCAATATCTTTCCCTAAATATCTCGATACTCTCCAGGGGCTATGGGTCTACATGTCTGTCGATACCCCAGAGTAAACGCAACTGACTTTGACGCTCCCAAGGGCGGAGACAGAGACGAATGGCTTTTCAATTAAATCCGAGCAGGCATCTTTCTCGAGTTATGACACGGAGCTGAGGAACCTTGAAATTTGCTTCCCATTAGTGTCTGTTGTGCGTCTGATCGAGGTACCTCTTTGACTCCGGTTTTCAGACTCTTCCGATAAAACCTTTTGCATCCATCTATGTTGTCTTTCTCATTTTCCTCTCAAACCCAGCTACCTCCCTCGCTGACTTGATCAAAAGTCGCCCTAAGATAACTTCAAACTCGAGAAGTCTGACTTTGTTAGTGAGCTTCCATGCAAGCGATTGTCACGTCACGTAGTCACGTAGATGCAGCTGATTTCAGAAATGACCACAAGTTCGCTATCTAGTGCCTGCTCACCCAAGCAGCTCAATACCTGAACTAGCTAACCATTTTCTGCTGTGAATATCCTCAATGTCCGGTTTCCTCTCTGATATCATCTCTGCTGTCTTGAATCTTCTCGTCTACCGTGCCATTGTCATCTTCTCTCGTGCCATCATCTCGTGCCATCATCTCGTGCCATCATCTCGTGCCATCGTCTTTCCTTCCTCTGCCTTCCCTTCCATCATCTTTCCGCATCGTCCTGTGTCGCCTTTAGATGTACCACATGGTGTTCCTGAACATCTCGGTCGAGGCGGGGTCGGCATCACCACTGGCGCCGCCGAGGGGCAGAAGCTGAAGAGCTTCGGTAGGTCTGTCGCCGTCGAACATGCTCTGGCCACGAGCGCCGTACTCCTCGACCATCTCGGCCGCCTTGGGTCCGCTGCGGAAGCCCTGGGAAGTTGCAATGTTCTCATGGGCACGAGCGCGGCCGGCAGCCAGGTCGGCGTAGTAGATGGCCGGGTGCAGAGAGACAGGGGTGGTGCTACGAGCGTACTGGTAGCATTGGCCGTAGATCATCTTCTGCAGATCGTTGGGCTTCATGTTGGCCTCGTCGACAAGCACAGTGTAGTGGACAGGGCGGGCCGTGCCCTGAATGGCGACATGCGAGCAGAGATAGAAGTCCCACCAGAAGGGGTGGCAGACCTCCTTCTCGAGAAGGGTGCCGGGCAGAGGGTTTCCGTTCTTGTCACCCTGCTGGGGGAAGAAGCGGACGTGGTGACGCTTGGTAGCCACGATGACGGTGAACCTGGGAAGGGTCGCGCCGGGGTATTTCTCCTTGAAGATGGCCTTCAGCGTGCCGATCTCGTATTCGAGAACCTGGGCGTACTGGCCCTCAGAGACACCATCGCGGAAGTAGATGATGTGGGGAGGAGGAGCCGGGTGACCCATGCGCTTGTGCCAGGTAGGCATCAGGCGGGCCAGGAAGTTGCGAGTGTTGACGGGAGAGAGCATCTCGACCCGGTAGCCATTGGTGTCGACTGCAGCGGCGTAGAAGGTGGCGTCCTGGTCCATGGACATAGTCATCGTGGCCATGGAAGGGGCATCGATGCCGGGGGTCGCGTGGGAGACATCGACGCCAATCATCATCGTCACCCTTTCGAAGAAGGCAGGGGCCTTGCTGTTCGGGCCAAGCTTCTGGTTCGGGATGCGGCAGGTAATACCGCCCAGCTTGGCATTGACCTTCATGGCGACATTCGAGTGGTACTGGCCTTGGTTCTTCTCGACGTGGCGGGCAAGAACGCACTGGGTGAGGACGCCGAAGCGACAGTCCGCAGACTTCTTGATGCGCTCGTAGGAGCCAGCGTTGTTGAAGCGCAGGACGCAGAAGATCAGCTGGGGCGTCATGCCCGTAGCCTTCTTGATCGCCTTGTAGCCGTTGGCCAAGGCCAAGGCCATGTCACCCTGTCTAGACTCGCTGTCAATGACAACAGCGTCCTTCAGAATCTTGCCTCCATGACCAGTGTAGGTCTGCTTGAACATCTTGACGAACTGGTCGGCAGCAGGCTTTCTGGTCGAGTCCTCAAGGATGAGAATACCCCAGGACTGCAGGGGCTGACGGTTGCCGACCCAGAACTTCTTGCCGCGAAGGTCCCAGCGGCCGGCGAACATGGGGCTGACGACGTTGTTCGCATACTGGATCTTGGGGGGCTCAAGCAAGCAGCCTTGGGTCTTCGCCATAGCCTCGTCGAAGACGACACCGTACTGCTTGAGGTAGGGGTCATCCTTCCACGCCAACTGGGCCTTCGCCTCCATGATGTCCGCCTTGCGCACGTTGGGACGCGTGACGGCGCCCTTGATCATCATAGCCGTCTCGTCAGGACCCAACTTGTAGGGGTAGCGCTGCATTGGCTTAATAATGCAGACTTCCATGGGGAAGAAGCCGGCCTTCTGAGTCTCGATGAGGGGCCAGTTGGGGAACTGAAGCTTGAAGCCGTAGGTCTTCTGGAAGTACTCTGCGACCGTCATTTCCTCGCCGTTGTTGGTGAACTTGATGTTGTTGGCGGTGGCGCCTCTCTCGCCGTAATCCTGCCCGAATGCGATGGCCTTGATTACGTAGACCTTCGCCCAGTCCTCCTTGCCCCGATGGCGAGGGGTGAAACGCAGCTTGGCCAGCTTGCGCAGGTGCTTGAAGGCGTCAGACATGACGAAGACGGCGCCGTTCTTGCTGTTTTGGCGGACGGGCGCAAGAAGCCTGGCAATGTCATCGGGGCTCTGGTTCTTCCATCTCTTGTCGCAGGTCTCGAGGAAGGAACGGACGAACATGTGCAACTGCATGTTGCCCTTCCAGAAGGCAGTGTTGGCGACGTCCACATTCAGTCCAAGTCCTCGACCAATGCTACCGCTGAAGGACTGGTTCATGCGAACGGACGCGTACACACCCTTGACAAGCTCGATGCAGTTGCCAAGGTCGAAGGCCTTCTTGCGATGCTCGTTGTAGAAGTTGCGCTTGATGGAGAGGAGGTTTTCCGTGGGGTACTGCCGGACCAGGTGATCCAGGAAGTTCATCGCCTCAAGGACGGAGTTGTCCCAGTCCATTCGGTTGTTGAGGTAGGCCTCCAGGGCAGACAGATGAATTTGCTTTGTCTGACGAATGACGAAGAAGAACTTGTTGTCATCCTTACGGCGGGGCTTGCCGCTCTTGGGAGGGGGAAGGCCCTCATCAAGGTCGATGGTGAGACGCTCCTCACCACGGTTGATGGCAACGGGAGCCCAGGCGAGCTTGCGACCGTCGCAGAGCCACAGGCACTTGTACTTCTTGAGCATCGCTTGGACCGTGGCATGCTTCCAGACCTTCTGGAAGACGACGTTGTACTTCATCGGGGTGGGCGAGATCATGACGTCGTACTGGTAAATGGTGGCCTTGTCGTTCCAGGACTTGACTCGGAACTGGTTGACCTCAAGGTTGCAAGGCTTGCCGGCCGTGTTGAATCCAGGGCGCTTGGCGAAAGGCGTCTCGCCGGCGTTTTTTCTATCCGCGCCGACGGTGTACGCCTCTGCAGGCAAGTCGATTCGAGTGTTCTTGTGGTCCTTCTCAGGACCGCCCTCAGGCTTGGCCGGGTCGAAGCCCATCGAAGGGCCGAAGGGGTTGGGACGCTGGGCGGCCTGGGAGCCGGAGCGAGAACGAGCGGGGCTGCCGGAAGACATCTTGATAGTGAAGTTAGTACGTGAATTGTTGCTGGTATGTGAAGTGATTTGTTGTGCGTTGAGTGGCTTGTTGTGTTGTGAAGTGGGTTGAGTTGAGGGGAGGATGGATGGGAGAAGAGGAGGATTTAAATAGACGGAGCTGAAGTCTGAAGAGACCACAGAAGGAAGGAAGTAGTAATCCGGAAGGACCAGGCAAGTGTGATGACGTTGTCAGGAAGTAGCGAGTTTGGAGGTGCTTACCTTGGCTGTCGGTAGTTGGTGGTTGGTGGTTGGTGGTTGACTGCGGGTTGCTGTTGCGGTGGTCTGGAGAAAGTTGTTTGTAGGCTGCGAAAGCAGATGTCAGTTGATGTTGTTTGCAGTTGCGGTTGTTTGTGTGTGGAGAGAGGAGGAAGTTTGTGTTGAAGTGGGAGAGAAGAGGCCTTTTTGTAGTGCTTGAAGGTGATGTTTGCGACTTCCGTTCAGAAGAGGCAAGAAGCAGCACGGGCAGGGGCAGGAACAGTGGTAATAGCAGTGGTAGAAGCAGCAAGAGCAGTGACGATGCCAGCAGGGAAGGCGGGGGCAACGGCAGCAATGTAGATGCAGGACCAATGTTTGTCATAGACCATGTGGTTGGCATACCTTGGATGTGAACGGATGGATGTTGCTTGGGTTGAAGCTGGATGTGAAAGTGAAATGTGAGTTGTTGAGTTGTAGTTGTTGTGTGTGGAGGAAGAAGTTTGAGTTGAAGTGGAGGAGAAGACGCTCTTTTGTAGTGCTTGAGGAGGGGATTTTGGGACGGCCGCTGCTCACGAGAGGCAGGAAGCACAAGATGAAGGAGGGAAGGAGTGGCGATCTGGAGACGGCAGTTGGCAGGGTAGCAAGCTGTTTGTGCTTACCTTAGAAGAGTTCAGAGAAGCTGATTTTCGAAGCTGGTGATAAAGTTAGCAAACCGCAGGTGTGTACGGAGATGGATGTGACAGAGGTAGAGTGATGGTATGGCGCTGAAGGTGGGTGAGGTATGTCTTGGCTTACCTTGTTGTGATTGACTGTTGTGACTAAGGTCTGCTGGGCTGGATGTGAAAGTGTGAGCTGTTGATGTGTGTGTGGAGGAGAAGAAAAGTTGGAGGCTCTGGGGAAAAAAGGTGCCATTATATAGACATCTCGAGGGGTCAAAACCGCGCTAGCAG